AATGACAGCGTTAACTTTTGATTCCAAAAGAGCTCGCGTTTTGCATTACAAACGCACAGCGGCTTTCCAGTGTGCAAATATGATTTGCCTTTTGCTGAACCCAGTGGGAAACGGATGAAACGAACTAACTGTAGATAAATAGAATATCAAGTGTACTCAACTTAACGGATGACTCCCAGTGGAGAGCCGGATTAGGACTGTGAAATGAACAGCGGTGGCTCATGCAACTTCATGTGCAATATGAATGACTTTTGTGTTCAAGATGAACAAAATCAAACGGACACCAGTAAGGTTCACTCTACAGCTAGGTCTGAATGCGTGCCCGGTGTGAAACCAGAATATCTGTTCATACTTTCACCTCCTGTTTGATACATGCGTCAATAAGTCCGTTTACTGAGATGGTGGCGGCATTAGGTTCCCGATTTGCCTGTCACTGTAACCCCCAAAAGATACTGGTTCATTTATAAGAATACCATTACTGTCCTGTCTGGGCCTAATGTAATCATGATATGTATTTACTAAGCTGTGCAGCGCAATCTCAACATCATCAGATGACGTTGGTGACAGGTCTCGCGCCTGTGCTGTTTAACTCTCAAACTGTGTCTCTGAAGCAGCATGGTCATTCTTTTACAAGGAATGCAAAGCAGCGCATAATGATGACAAGTCCTAATAATCATTATTTACCAAAATTTGTTCAATCTCATCATTTCAATTGACACTACTGATATACTGGACGATAACAGCAATCTAATATGCAGAAGTGGGGAGAAACTGGAAGATTTACACGATTGTCACTACAATAACCTCTCGCCCAGCATGTTTATGACATTCGTTGGATCAACCAGCAAACGGACAGATATGGCACGACTATGTTATGATACGATGAAGTGCGAGAAAATAAAAATTTGATTTTTGTACGAGTAGAAGAAAAAGTGAAGTTTTTCGGAAGTTCACTGTGCAGTGAATGAACATTTGGGACCACAAACCCCGTACGACATCGCCAGAATATTTGGATCCTATAAACACCGTTTGTATAGGGAGGCGTTCGATATATAAGTAGCATAGAAAAGCGGATAGGATCGCTTCCTGCAGAACACCACAGGCAGCACGGAGGATAGCGTATTTCCTACTGTTAAACTTGGTTAAGTGAGTAAGGTCCGTAAAATACTCACACAAGAGATAACACACACACACACACACACACACACACACACACGAGTGAGCTCCATTCTCAGATAGCAGGTAAAACAACATTGACCCATCCAGGCTTCCAAAGGTATTTGAAAAAGCAAGAAAGAGAAACCATAGGGATTAACATTCGGTGTAAGACAGAGGCTATAGGATGAACAAGATATGCCACCACATCCAATGTAAAGTGCTGGGATCAATATTAAAGCTGCTACGTTTCGTCACCAGATGTGGCTATGAAAATTAGCGAAACTAGCAGCTCCTCGAAAACTTTCTCGGGCGGTACTTATGAGATCCTGTTTTGGGTACCGGTGTTATTCTGACTGATCTATACATATATAGGATAACACCCATATTGAGATATGTATTGAAGAGATCTGTTAAAGATAGTGTGAGCTCATCAGCATACTCATTTAGGGCTGCTATTCAGTGACCATCCGGACCACTATCTTCGTGTAAATTTACTCTTTTGATTTCCTTTTGAACATCGATTTGATCGAATGGCGTGACTGGATTTGAACTAATAAAGCACAGCAAGCCTGATGCACTTGGTGAGATGAAGCTAAACTCGGAACCTAGCTTGTCCACATCCCCTTCACCGCGGTAGCTGCAAACGCTGTTACTACACAGTTGTCTCAAAAGCCTCCATAGAGCCTGACAGTAATATTTGCCTAGAACCACTCCGTTGTATATGTTTTTAGCCTTTTTATCCCAGATTTAATTGCTGAGGCTAGACTCTTGACATGAATAGACATCCTACATTTATAGTCCCTGTCTTTCATCCTTCGAAGTTACTTCAGCAGTGGTGATGAAACTCTGTCCGCTCTTAGGTAGATCGTTTCAACTGGACGACACACGTCAAATCAAAATTTGACATAGTCTGTAGAATGGTCAGATGCAATCTACAAGTTCTCGTCGTTAGACTGTAAAATCAGTTAAGGAGCTTTGTGGTATTTTCAACGGAGCAATTTCTCCGTTTGACAATCTAAGAAGGTCGTCTAGCCAGCGTGCCAGTTAGCTTTACTGTATACGATTGAACACAATTATAAAACACAGTGGTCAGCTGCTCGAAGGGAAGCGTTTTTATATCGCAAACAACTGCACTTGTTTGCGTAAATAGCGTCCAGTTGAGTATAGTCCCTGGTCAAAAATTCACTAAATCTACCGAAATCAAGTGTCCTCAGGAATTTTGCACCCTTTCTATCAGAGTCTCCGGCGATAATGCAGTTAGAACAATCTAGTTTCAGCAGTAGCATTCAAGATACTTGGTCTCCAAAAAGTACAACTCTAATGCAGATGTGTCAGGAGTAATGTAGACCCTTCCAGAGACGACCCATTGAAACCCGCTTAAGAACTTCGGTTTGAATTCAATTATATGAGAATTTATAGAGGTCATTGAGTATGTGAGTAGTACAGTTTCTGAACTTCGACAAAGTTAACGTGTTATAACGTCGCCACCACGAAACTGGGGCTTGCAAGGGCGGTCAAACCTAACGGGAAAATAACCATCGATTTTAATAACTATTTTCCACATCAGTATGCAATCAAATCATTTATAACAGAAGGATTCCTGTATTAATATAGTCATTTCGCTGCATAAGGGTGCGGAGGTCACCGATTTTAGCAGAAAGAGAGCGTACATTAATGGAAAGTATCCGTGGGATTTGTGCCTTATCGATAGAACAACGACTGAGGCCAGGTTGCCAACCAGCACAAGGCTTTCGTGTGTCCCGAAAATGTGCCCTGACTTTGTGACCACATTCGATGAAGCAGAGATTTCGGACAATAACACGTAACCTTTTTAACGGATTAAAGGAGTAGGACAAAGCTGACTTTGACACTAGTTCAGAAAAACGGAAATGTTTCTATGATACAATTAGAACGTAAAATCCGCAGTGAGCAGTGGAAAGTGCAGTACAACGAGAACAACAACGACCAAATTCGAAGGTTCCGTCAGCGGTTGTGTTGGACTGAGCGATACACTAGAAAGCTTAAACACAATGTGCTCCGGGTTAATTGGAGAGGTCAGTTACAGAACCTGATTATTCAGCGAGTTAAGTGAGTTCTTTTTTTCCTTGCAATCCTTTGCTCTCTAACTTTGTCTAAACAACCTTCAAAAAGCTTTCCTTACTTTTCAGACAGGTATATGACAGCAGACATTCGTTGTGAAACGAATCACTCCAGTTCTGATAGCTTCGTGCGAATGTTATCTACATAGCTAGGTGTGTGCCTCCTCAAGTTATTCGAATTCAGATTGTGACTATATATGCATATTTCTCTCCAAAAGGGCTTTAGATACCGACATGAAGCATCTCAGGTCAACCTCAGGCTCTTCGCACCCAGTAGAGAACTTTAGGTATACTTTGAGACATTTCTGAGTTAGTTGCGTTGTAGAGGGCAGAAGGTAGGTACCATGTTAGCCCTATCGTTCTTAGTTCAGCGCTAGGAGCACGTATGTCGTCGCGACCGTGTAGACATCAGGGAGCCGGAAAAATTGAAGTAAAGCAGTATGGTCCTGGTGTCCTACATGGTCGCGTTGTCCGGAAGCCGCTTAAAACTTTTCTCGGCCGTTGCAGGGATAACAGTATTCGGTAGGCGGTTCCAGCCATTCACTACCCGAGTGGATGGATCAACAGCACAGCGGACGTTGAGCCCCCTAGGCTCGAACAACTTCAAGTTGTGACCTCGTTTGGAACAACCTAGGTTGACCCGGAAGACTACTACATTTGATTCCTAAATTCACCTTTGAATATGCACCCGGTGAACATGAGCTCTTCGAGAGGACGACGACATTCCATGGAGAACAGATTCATCTGCTGGAGCCGCAGACTGTAGGCGCGATCACGAAGACTAACTACGGAGTTAGAGCCACGCCTCTGGATCTGTTCGATTAAGGTAACTCCAAGCTTTGAGAGTGTGATTGCAACTGGCAAACTATACCTTAGAATTGGTCACATGTATGAAGTAAACAAGTGGCTAAAGATCTTCGGTGTCATTCAAATGAAGGATCTACTTAGTGCACAGCAAATTCTGTTTACAGTCGCCTATTTCTTAAGCGCGTCGTGTGTAGTTTTCAAATCAGGAGCTCTCATAATGCCTAAATCAATTTTCCTGAGCGGCGATTTTGAAAAGGATTTTCTTACTATGATAAATTCCAACAGGCTCAGAATCACTAATATTACTTTATGAGTAATCTCCAGTTGATGGACAAATGTCTGTTTTCGTCAAGCGCTTAGCTTAAATAAAGGAGCGTTTTAGTTCCAAGTGATGACGCACGATACCAAAAAGAGCCCACACTGGTTTTGTGAAGGTTGGATCGTGCAAACCAAACTGGTGTCTACTACAACTGCTTAAGCTATATCACAGGTTACAGAAGACTTCCATCACCCCCCAGGCATTTATGCGGTGAACCTTGCAACGTGAAACTTGCGGTTCACTTTTATGCGCAACATGGAAGATTGGTTACAGGTTTAGCGGGCAGATAGCCACATACTATTTAGCATTTCTAGCAGCCCATCGTTTACGCACCTGCGAAACATCGACAATTTGTCGTGACGTAGTGCGAAGATCTCTAGCCGAAGCCATGAAGCCACAGCGGTTGCGTGCTTACATTCTAATTCGAGGCGCTTTGTTTTCCACTAGCATTTGGGCATAAGTGAAAAGAAATATACGCATTTATTTATGTATTTAACTCTTTCACGCATGAACTTATACTAACTCTGATGTTGGCATATAGCAGCTTTAGTTTCCCGTTTATTTGCATCAGTTATGCTACCTTCATTTTCCCCCTCTCACTTTCTCAATCCCATCAGCCACAGGACGCGCTTCCTGACTTATTCATTTCCATGATACAAGATGGCCAACGTGTTGGCTTTGCCAGGATTCCTGCACGTGATATCTACTACTCTGTCGTGGACTCTGAACGTGGAAAATGGAACGGACAGTTGGCGACCATTTACATCCGAGTGAGTTATTTGACCAAGTTCAACGCACTCGTATTATACATCACATTGTACAAGCCCAGCTTGGGCCATGCTACAGTTCAACCACAGTCGTAGTATCGTTGCTGAAATGGATACAGTTGTATCGTACAGTCATTTTTTCCGTATCTTAGGATCGCAGAAGCAAGCATTCCGTACTACATGGATTGTGCTATGCGGACACGGTTAAGGTGCTTTGGGTTTTTTGATATTGGCATTCACCAAAACCCCACCAAGGGTAGGTACCACAATTCTCTCGTTCCGACAAACGACGGTCATGGGTTGCGATACAACATGCAAGCATAACATTTAAACGCTAAAGGATGAGTTGTCGGTCGGCCCTTAACCCTCAATAGCTTTTAGCAATAAAACAGAAATCCAGAACGAAAGATGAGCTCCAAATAATAACAAATGCATTTGCTCTTCCCTTCAGCCGACTACCCTAGAGCACTTACGTGTAAAAGCTTTTCCAAAAAACCACTCCGAACGACCAAGTATATCGGGAAACAATGGTTAATAAGATAAAACGGTTGCAAATTTCCCCCTCTTAATTCTGCGTCACCTGATTCACGCATCGCTGCTGCTGAACTTCTCGCCGACTAGCTTGCTGGGTATACTGGTCAGTAGGTCATATGGTCGGACTCAATCGTTTCTAGTGATGCGAACAAGACAAAATCTCAAAAACCACACCAAAACCACGAATCTGATAGTCTCAGCAGACGAGAAGCTTATGGGGTGCTGCGTCAATGCAGCAATTGCTACGGCACTGCATTCTTCTGCCACAGTTATGAGACGTGTTCTCCTGGCTACTGGGTTTTCAGGGCCATATGGTTTTACAAAAGGTTGTACTCGGGTTGCAGGCGCGTTTTTCGGCTATGGATCACAGCACTTAGGGCCTAAATTAGTGAGCCTGGGTGACTGGTTTTAGCCTACTGGAAGTAGCGCTGAGTTTAAGTTGATCGTACACACTAGAGCTGTTCGCAACGTGTAAGAACGTGCCAAGGAGGGACGGGGCACTCGCATTCACTCTTGCTGACCCTCAACTTTTCGGGTGTGTGGTATTTGAAACTAGCTGAAGTGAATCACGTCACACAAGAAGACACTTTCTTGTAAGAACAACATTCTAGGTCAGTGCTGTTTGGCATCATTATTCAACGGACTGGTTTACCCACGCTAACTTACCGATCGTTTCGGTATCATATTGAACTCCCACACTTCAACCATGGTGTCGTGGGTGTCATCAATCGGAGTCCGACTGAAACCGTTACCGGTAACGAATCATAGTTTGATGATCTCACTCGTCGTTTCCCAAATCGAACATTGACCTTTTGCATCCTACTTCAGAAACAAGGCCGAGAAGGCGTGGGTGAAAAGGGATGGAAGATTCAATGTCAACTGCAGATCTACCTCTGGCTCAGCCTCATGAAGGACTTTCCAATATACAAGTCTGGAATACCGGGTGGCGTGAATCCCGAATGCTTAAGCGGAGTAAAGCCACCGGACGAACTAGTATACCAATGTGGGTGATTAAATTTATATTGAAATCAACGGCATCTCCTCTCTGTCTCTGCCAGATTTTCTGTTATACATCGATAGGGTTTTGTGCTTATCTAACGTAACCTAATACAGTGGATCCCTAAATCAATCACTCGACTGCACACTGTCTCGCATTGCTGTACATATTTGTATATTTCCTAACACGGTCGTGTGTAGCAGTTAGAACAACTGCACTTTTCGTGTACAATGTAACTGCAGTGCAACTAACGGAAGTACAGTCCAACCTGCTTTGGCGACCACCAGTCTATGGCGATCATCCCTCTATGGATACCAGCCGAAAACATCCCCAATCTTTTCTCCTATGAGTAATATCCCTATGCATAAACCTGTCTATGACGACCACCTGCCCAAGGCGACCATTTTTGTCGGTCCGTTGAGTGGTCACCTTAGACAGGTTCAACTATACATTATTTTTCACATCATAAACGTGTACATTTATTTCTACGAAAGCTATAGTATCAGGGTTAAAGGAATCTATGAAGAGCGTCATCATTCCCTTAGTAGATTAGGGCCCTCGCTAGGTGGTTTGGTTGTCTGGGGGTGTAGAAGAATGGGTTTTATTACTCTTTTCCGGATTTCCCTATCAGTTTGACTGTGCACAACCTAAGATCATCCAAATCGGCAAGATACCTTGGGGGTTCAGCTACAACTCCCCCAACCCCGCTCGCACATGTCCTGCAAGGTGTAAAGCCGAGAGCGTCGGGAACTAACAGCAGTGGTTAAGCAAACTCATGCATACTCACTGCAATGATTGCAGTCAGACAGCGGCCACACAAATCTCATGTTACCACCATATTTTTACGTATATTTCACAGCACGTAGCCTGTGTGATTTTGGATACCCGTGCGCCTAGTGACGCACCACAACCAAACCGGCTGACCGGAGCAGACAACTGAGGCAGCTCAAACGACGTGACCAGCGCAACCTAAAAGTGCATACGGGCCGGAGAAGTTTGTCGACCGAGAATCCAGTGAGCAACAAACGCAAGCTCAATCGTACCTCAGACAAGCGGGGAACAGAGATCATCTCGAAAATCACGTGTTCGTTCTGTGCCAATTCCTTAGAGGCAACAGATGCGAACATTACACTTAACGGAGGTAACCACGTATCGACAGATAGGTTGTGGTTCTGCGACTCATGTTTAAGTAGTCCCATAAGTAAGATTGTTCAGAAGCATACAATAAGGTGTGAGCTGTTGGCTGGTACGTCGGCAGAGCAAAGGGAACTGATCGCGGTTTTGGGAGGGGAAATATCAGTACTCGGGTTGCAGATTAATGTAGTAGGTTTCCCGAATCCCAGACCTGTTAAACGGCAAAAGCTCTCTAGCAACATTGCTAGACACTCCAGCGAAAGACAAACACAGTTAGTGAAAAACAGTAGTTAAAACAGACCGGTTGGACGATCTCCCAACTCTCACGTAATGCTCCAAAGCATGCAGAGTTACGCACAAATTGCATGATCACCTCCGTCAGTAGCTGGGCAACAACAATTGACTTCTACTGACAGTGTGACTAACGGCGTTTCACGCAAAAATATGTTGCTGTAGTCTTGGCATGTCGTCCACGGAAGACAAGCCAGACACCCCCACTCGACAAACCTACGCTCACAAGCAATTGCGGAACATACAGTTACTACCCAAACAAAAGGCGATAACAGTGATGTGTTTAAACGTCCCAGAACCCACTAGCGAATCGTTAAAAGGTAGACAAGCCGAGGAGCAAAACCGCCGGGCTGAAATAACTTGCGCACTCGAACTGAAAGTTCTCCCAACTAGTCTTACATGCCTTTCACGAAATCCATCATCTACACACGTAGTGGAACCTCGTTTACTGCGATTAACGTCTGACAACACACGCGATCTGGAAGATGTTGTCTTAGCAAGCTACATTCAAGTGAACTCTTCTATCGGTGCCAACATTTTTCCTGCCAGGCCATGGGCAGAAAGACAGAAGGGAAAATCTAACCCTAGTTCGTCACGTTAAAATGAGAAGGAGAAACTGGTACTGGTTCACTGTGTGCCAGTATTGAAGCACGACGATAACAGTGAACGATAAAAGCACGACATCGAAGAATGGATGTACATCACAGAGCTCTAGGACATGCTAAATATCGTGGCTTTTGACGTCACCCGTCTAGTTGCCTCCACAAACTACCAAAGCAGCAGGCCAAGCATTTTGATAGTTACCTTGGCTGCTCTCGCAATGGTATCAGTGGCGATCCAAGCATGGCATGACAACAGGAAAATTGGGCCACCAGAAGTACGGTTAAGACCATTCCTTCAATTAGTACAGACCTCAGATACAGATAAGTCAGTCTCGGTTGTACCTATCTCAGATCAGCCAACCGTGCAAACAACCGTTTCAAAAAATTCAGCAGACCGGCACTATTTGTGACGGTCACTCACAGCGAACCGAGCTCCTAATGCGTCAATTAATACAATGCTGCCAAACCAACACTCAAGGCTTGTATTCTAAGCTCTCGGAACCGCGCCATCGACATGAAACAACAACTTGGGACCTCATAGCAATTACTGAAACGGCTTTCAAACGACATACTTGATCCAGTGATTGAACTCAGTGAGATGTCAGTCATTCGAAATGATCGTCCATCTCGCTGTGGCGGTGTTGCCCTCTACTACCGAGATTACTTGAAATGTGAAGCCCTTACCGAAAATTCCATTGTTATTCCCGACGCACTAGTTTGCCAACTGCAGCAACCAGGTCAAGCTGTTGGTTCACAGACAATGCGTGATGCTTGCCTCTTAGAAGTTATCTACAGTCCACCGAACACGTCAGCGGACAGCGATAACATTCGGTTGAACACTCTCCGCTATGCTGTTTTACAAAAGTATTTCCACTATCTTATAACTGGCGACTTCAATGTACCTTCAATAGCATCAATGTCCCCTAATGGAGTCTATCATTGCTTATGCACTCATGCAGTAGTTGGAAAATCACAAGCTGATAGCACCAGAGCAACATGGCTTCCGAGAAAAGTGATCATACACTACGAGCCTGTTAACTGCACGCAACAGCTGGACTGAAGCAGTTGACGGTGGAGCAGGAGTTGATGTCCTTTACTTGAACTTCACAAAAACGTTTGATCGCTTAGACCACCGAATTCTCCTTCATAAGCTTCAGCTCTATGGCGTTGGTGATCCACTGCTGCGTTGGATAGGCAATTTCCTGCACTAACCTCGGTTGGAAGTGAGAGTACGAGAATCACTGTCCGACGCGATTGAGGTGGTGTGCGGCGTACCACAAGGCTCGGTGCTCGGGTCCCGTCTATACTTGATTTTCATAAACAATCGGACAAGGGAAATTACTTCCGATTCCCTATTCGTCGCGGATGATATCAAGTTATGGCGAGCGATCAAAGAACCGAAAAGCGTAACCTCAACACGATTTCAACCTGGTCAGTTCTGAAATCCCTACCGTTCACTGCGGAAAAATGTCACTCTGTTCAGTTGCGCCGTAAGCATGACTAAGTGTATAGTCTTGGGACACGTATTGCAAACAACTTTCCAAGAACGTGACCTTGGTGTGCTCATTCAAAGTGAACTTAACTGTTCAAAAATGTCACAGACAGCTGCGAAGAGAGCGAACCAATATGTCGGCTTGCTGCGGAGATCATTCGGAAGATTCGACCCATCCATCTTCCCCATGATGCACAATTCTTACGTGCGCCCTCAATTTGAATACGCCATCCAAGCTTGGCAACCTTGGTTGAAGCGCGACTTAGAAGTACTAGAGAAACCACAACGCAGGGTCACAAAGAACGTCGAGCACCTACGAAAGCTGTCCTACCATCAGAGACTGAGGTCACTGGGAGTTTTCAGCGGCCGCTACTGAAGGCCGCGCGGCGATCTCATATTCGTCTACCAAATATTCAGTGACCCTAATCACGTATGCCGTCACTTGCTGAAACCCAGTCCTAACACCAATCTCAGAGGTAATCCTCTGAAATTGTGTGCACACATTAGTCGCCTGGAATGCCGGCGGAATTAGTTTTCTCTTCGGGTTTTCCAACCCTGGAACTCTCTCCCAAACTTCGTTGTTTCCACCCCACCTTGGATACTTTCAAAAAACGATTGGATCTTGCCCCTTGGCCCCCATCACTTCGCTGCCCAAACTGTATAACTTTGGAATATATTAATTATCCCTCCAAACCGGATTAGCATGTTACGTTAACCTGAGGATGCGGGACAGAAGTGAGTATGCTCGTTTTAACTTCTTACTTTTCTTACGGATTACAACAGCTATAACTGTCCACATTTTGTCTCGTCGTTCGCATTCAATTCCCACTTTACTATTATTCAGCAACGTATCTGCTGGATAAACTCTCAAACCGACAACTTACCTGTCTTTTAATAATTGTAGTTTTACCCCTACCATCCTGCGGGACTTGCCCAACAACTGCTTTTTTACCCGACATAAATCATTGTTCATTGTCCATTGACAATTTAAACCGAACCTCATGAACATAGCAGTTTTGTATAACCATGTGCATCGACCAAGCAGACACCGCGGTTCAAACAATCCATCACTCCTGGACTTAATCCTTACCAATGAAGAGTTAATGGTTGTCAGTAGCATACGATCCTCCAGCGAGCCGTAGCGACCATTTAGTCCTAACGTTTGGTGATGTGTTTTGTGCTAGTGTTGTTGATCAAGAAAGAGGGACTCAACGAACTAGTACGGACTCTTTCATGCTACACAACTTAGCGGCAACCGTTGACTGGGACCTACAGACGCACAGTTCATCGAATAAAGCATGGAACGAACTGAAAGACAACACTAATTGGATCATATAATCAGCATCGAAGGTTGTACCGTTACGAGCGTCGTGCCGGACCAATACGTGGATCCGAAGCAGAACACGCAGATGGATCAACAGAAGAGATGAGGTCTAGAGGCAGCATTCGCTAAGCCCATGTACTACCACAGGGCAGAATTACAAAACAATCAGAAACCAGTGCACGTCGCTCATTAGAGTCCGTAAGTACGAATGGCAGTAGACCATGGTGCTGAATTTTACGAGTAACACCAAACTACTATACAGATATGTGAGTGGTTAAAGAAAGGTTAAGCCCGGAATAACACCACTCAAGACGGCCAGTGGCCTAACAACTACTGCTGTGGATGTCGCGAACGCTCTGCTACTGCAGTTAGGCTCGGTAGCTACAAATACCATGGAACCTTCGCCCTATCAACCAATAAAGGTCGTTGGCCTATCCAGCGTCACGTTTACTCCAGCAGCCGTTGCAAGCAAAGTACAGTCTCTCCGGGAGTACAGTACCCAGGTAACCTACATAATCTGCCCAAAAGTACTTACAACCCTTGCTCCCACTATAGTAGCAACAATTGCAGTCTCTTCCAGGGTTTGCTTAACTCCCGTACGCTACCATCCGAGTGGAGAAATGGGTTTATCCCTCCAATATGCAAAAGAGGTAAGCGATCGGATCCTGCTAACTACCGACCTATTACTCTCCTTCCTGTTTTATCATGTGATGGAATCGGTAATCGCAGATGTACTGAGGCGATACTTTGAACATCTACAAATAATTTCTAATGCCCGACATGGTTTCAGACGCAGACGATCTTGTCTCACCAATTTGCTGCTTACTCGGGACTCATGGACCAGGGCGGCTGATGAAGGAGTCCCCATAGATGTGATTTACTTGGATTTTTCTAAAGCATTCGACAGGGTCAATCACTTCTTTCTTCTCCAAATGCTTTCTGCCTACTGTATCAATGGTTCCCTGTTCACCTGGTTGAAGACGGCTTACACGACAGAGCAAGCAAGGTAAGAGTAGCCGCCACTCACTCTGCAAGCCTGTGCGTCTCCAGTGGTGTAACGCAAGGATCTGTCCTCGGCCCGCTACTGTTTTTAGTCTACATTAATGACCTTCCAGCAGACATTCTATCCCCGATGCAAATATATGCAGACGATGCTAAAATAAGAAGAGCAATTCGCTCAGCATCCGACCTTGTCTATCTTCAGGATGATCTGGTTCGGATTAACGAATAGGCAGAAGTGAACCAGCTCCCACCGAACCCTGCAAAGTGCCACCTGCTGACGGTGCGCAGCGACTTCGTCAACACATATCTTTTGGCGCATTACATCTTGCAACACGTGACTAGTGAACCCGACTTAGGTATCATGGTGCAAGAGAGTCTTGGCAATTCGCTCCAATGTTCGAAAGCAGCGTGGCGAACTTGAACTTGAGGCTTTTGAGGCGAGCTCTCGGCACTTTTGAGCGACGGCTAGTACCATTGTTGATTAACTCCTATATCCGTCCTCACGTTGAATATGAAATTCAGGCCTGATGTCCATGGTTAAAAGGAGACATTCGTCTATTGGAACAACCCCAAAGTAGAGCCACAAAGGCAAGACGTGGATTATCCGGTACAAGTTAAGAACTGAGTCTTCTTGTATTCGGCGTGTTCTCCTCCGAATACCAACGAATTCGCGGTGATCTTATTCTCAAATACCGGATACTAACTGAAAGCGAGCTTCCGTGTACACCACTGTTGACCCTAGCCCCTTACAGACAATTCCGAGGGAACCACCTGTAATTAATGACGCAACACTCCCGTTTGAATTGTAGAAAGTATTTTTACTCAGTTATAGTCTGTTCTCACTGAAATGCATTATCAAGATATGTGGTGAACGTAATAGACATAACGACATTCGAAAGACCTAGACTTTCATCTTAGTGATAAACGCTACACAACAGTTTGATAAAATGCAATGATTTAACCACTGATACTTCACGTTCCACGTCTGGAGCAGTTTGATGTTAATTTTGTTTTGCTTATCCATCCTGTGGATGTTGTAATGTTATGCCTCTTATCCCATCATACACTATTCAACTATTGAATTGACTGAGAACTACTGTGGTAGGTCGGATTTAGTGAGCAGTTTTCACTATGATATGGCTCAGTATAGTGGATTTGGAAACGATGCTGCTAGCATGTTGCCTGTTTACAGATACCTGAGGATACCGGGCTTATAAGATTAGATAAAACTGTGCCGTCAGAGGTATTGCAAATGGTAGAGCCCCTTAGTTAAATCTGGATATCAAGTTCAGATGAACCAGCCGTTTGAACCCGTTTAAACCATCCTTACTCGCTACCCAAAACAGCTTAAGGAACATATGTTGACCATTTCTGAAGCCATTGCAACCAAGGTTCTGAAACCGGAGCCGTGCAAACAACACACATTTCTATAGGCTCTGAAATTGCCTTGACCTTGAGCTTGAAAAAATCCCTGTGAGTTGTATTCGGGAGGCCAGTTGGCTTCTGGTGAAACGTTACATAAACGTGGCACGCCAAGTTCTGTGAGTTGAAGCATGAATGTTGATGCTTTGCAGCATGTTGTCAGTTCAGCAATCAAGCCAAATGCAGCTGGTTACATCTGCATGGTCAAGCTAAAGCTATGACAGCCGAGTGAAAGAAGCCACTATTTGGCACGTCGAAGCTATTGGTAACGGGGAGCGATGCTCCAAAGGGCAGGCTGCGGTGTGTGAAGAGTTAAAGGGGAACTAACCACTGTGCTTCCCACACGGTGGTACATGCTAGAAGGTAGTCATCACCCAAGTCACTGAGGCTAGCTTTCCCCGATTCCCCTTGCTAGATCGTGAAATGAAACAGGGCGCTCTGTTTAGGAAAGTATGCTCGTTCACCTAGATTGTTCGTTTAGTGTACATAGAGTTATGTGTGTGCTTACTTATTCTTCACTGCTAACAACTATTTGGACACCACCATCCCTTGCTTTCCCTGACTCTTTGTGTTCCCTCCTTTCTTTCTAGCTCGGAGTCGCTTTGAGCTAAGATGTTATATTTTCCTAGCTCGTCACCTGCTGGCCTCGGACAAAAGTGGTCTGTCTGATCCATTGGCCAGAATCCTGATCAAGGAGCACGTACTCCAGACACAACCCCTAATTCAGACAATGAGTCCAATGTGGGATGTGATGTTGCACAAACAAATAATCTTTTTCCACGACGCAGAGTCGGTAAAGCGTACACAGCAGCAAGTTGTGGTGGAAATTTTTGACATCGACCCCGGGGTGAGTTATTGTTCTTTTAAGTTGCACTTGAAACCGCTTATAACAAGAAATTCATCAAACTATAATAGTTTGAAATACCGGTAGTTCGGGATGGATGTAGAGATGTTGATATGCTCGTCAAACTCAAAGTAATGATAAGCAACTCAACTTCATTTTGTTTCCCTTGGTGTCGAATGGATTAATTCAACGCAAATACGGACATTTTTCAGCATGTGCCCCCAACAAGGTTTACACCCGTTAGCTAAGACGTTGCGGAAGATCAGTGCGTTTGCTAGGCGAACCCATGGAAATTTAAGCTGTATAAACGTATCTCAAAGGCGGTGGATTCAATCAGCTTTCCACTGATTCCACAAAAGCGCCAGAGCACCGTTTGCTTTCAGAATTCGGCAGTGGTACATGCTACCACGTGTTACTGATGGGCTCAGAACGATGCTCGTACTATTTCGCGGAAGCAATGTCTTTACCACGTCAGTAGCTTACACCACCTGGTCATCAGGCCTTGTCCGAAAGAACTGGATCAAGATCTTCGGTGCATCACCTGGTCAAAGTGATGCGCACTGCCGACCAATGCCAAAAGGATATCACTACGCCCGGCGCCTTTCCGGTTGTTTATTGCCGTCTGACTAGGTCAATTTTTAGCAAAATCTGTTGTACTTAACATATGAACGACAGTTAGATGCTCATCCGTTTCAAATGAACTAACTATCCAGTAGCAAAATGATGGTTGTAGTTAAGATGGAGGGTGGAATCAACCGTTTGAGAAACAGAAGTAGTGACACGACTTAGGCCAAGACGAAAAAGTATTTTATCAGACTGTACATTCAGCATAGAATACGGCGGCATTTCTCAACTGTCACGCAGTGGAGGCTATAAATGTTAGTTACCGGTGGTGGCCCAGAATTGCACTCAGCTTCAGGGTGCTTTCGCATAGGCAACTTAAGCCTTGGTCCATTTCGGTGGACGGTTGGTTGGCTACAGTCAGTGAGTGAGCTGGTGTGTCAGTTGGACCGTGCAATTCACTTTGTGTGGTAGCTCTCCCAGGCTAGGTTAGTTTCATCCGCCCACGATGAGGTATGATTTATTTCATTAACAACGTTGCCAGGTTGGCGATTCGAACCTACCTAGTAAACGACGGAAGAATCAGATGGGAACATCAATCCACAAGTGAGTCCATGGTAAGTGTTGTGGGTACCCGTTGCGCACTGAAGTAACCGTGTTGTATGATTCGCAATTTCGGTAATGCTACCACGGTGCTAAATGTGAAGTACAGTTGCTAAGTTGTCGTCTCAAGATTGCGCACATGACTCTTCCTACATGGAACCGAACCATGAGCAACATTTTTGCATAACAAACTTAACCAGTTGGCAAGAGACACATTTGGATGTGCTTCTTGCATGTTAGAAGGACCATTTCAGCCACTTAAAGGCAGCGCTTCAAATTTGGCCGTGCTCTTCAAGGAATTATTGACACAAACGCCTTCGAAGATACTTACTAAAAACCCGTTGTTTTACTCATCTACTGTATTTTTCTACAAGCAGTACCACGCTAACCTATAACCGCGATTTACGTCGTTATGTGTTGCCGCATAAGCCAACAACGACAATCGATCCATCAAGAATAAAGTGGGAAGAATCTAAAAACACGGAATAAATCCATAAGAGCATACTGTGAGGGGAAAGTTGATCTAAGAAAGAAAATTTTGACAAGCATGAGCATACCCACTTTTCTAATCTCCAATGTCCGTTCGTTCCTGGGATCAATGCAGGACGTTAAAAGCATTATTACCTGTCGTGAATACGCACAAATTGGAATCGTTATGCTGAAAAAGACATAACTCCATAAAGATGTTGAAGACTGTTGTTGCAATTGACCATTTTATTTATTTTCGTACTGATCGCTCATACACCTACGGCAATCGTGGCGGCGATGTCATAACCTTTATTAACGCTTCTTGGTGCCTATCTGTGAAAAGCCCCTTCTGTTACTCATCGCAACGTATCGGCTGCTTGGTCCTAAAGTGTAAGCCAAAATGTCTGAATGTGTATCGCCCTGTGTTACTGGCCAATATTTATGTCTCCCCAGTCGTTCGAACACAGAAGCTGACATATTTTGCAAGGATTTTACGGCTCATGTTATTCGGAAAATTGAACAATCCCACTGCATGTTTGCTGGTCAGTTCAACAGGTTTGGCACCACATTTCTTACAACTCAGGCTACAGAATATTGTAAAATGTCCCATCAGGTTAGAGGCAAGCCGGAATTTAGTACTTGTCAACAGTCTAAAGATATTTTCGGTCTGCAATCGGGCACCACTTGGCAGTCCAGATTATTCTATAGTCAAGCTATCCCCTGTTGTCTACAGTAAGACAAAGCACAAGAATGTCACTCGCTGCGATGAGCGTATATGGAAATGGAGACAATCCATTCCTACAACCCCAGCGCAACTGCAAGAAATGGTTGCTTTCACAGACTAGTTTGCTTTTGGACACAGATGTATCAGCATACTGTGACCAAGTGAAAAATTAGCTGAACTTCTGTTATGGTCTCTGCTGTCAGATAGAAAGCAACTTCATCTGTGATTACAGCTTTTCTTCGGTCCAACTCAAACAGCTTCGTAACTTTACGAAAAGCTTTCAAAGGCATAATGCTTTAGTGATGTTTTCGTTTGCTCGTGTAAAGGAAGGAGTGCACCACCTCAGTCATGTCCATGTCCAGACAATTCTGTGGAACAATAGTTGTCGTCAGGTTTGGCGGATGATGAAACAGCTCAGCGGAGTCGCCCGTTACCGTACAAATTGCAGTTTGGAAGTAGAAGCTTGAAGTAGTAAGTTCTGTTGCATCAACAGTAACTCATACTCTGACTCCTTAAGTGCACCGCTTCAGTGGTCTACGAATCACTGGTTCCTGTCGACGTCACATCACTGCACAAGAAGCTAACCCAGCTGCACTCAGGAACGGCATGCGGACCTGACAGGCTGTCACCTGTCGTCTTCAGGCTGTGTGCCGGTTCCTTTGCCTAGCCTCTGGCCGACTTATACACAGTGGGCCTAAAGCAAGCGAAAATCGCGGATGGTAGGAGAATCGCCAGTAGAACGTCAGTACCGAAGAAAGTGATGGGTCCATCTCGGCCTACTACATCCATGTCGGTGGCTTTGAAGTGTATTTGAGAAAATCATTCTTGAAAAAATGTTGACACAGTCCCGCTTGGATGATCCACGTCAGTTTGCGTATAGAAGCTCAGGACCCACATAAGATGTAATAACTTGTCTAGTGTATTAAGTCTTGTCATCGCTAGGAAGTAAGAGCAAATCAGTACGTGTCTGCTTCCTCGACTACAGCAACGCTTTCGGTTGCGTTAACCATAAAGTGTTGTTGCACAGTCTACAGACGTCTGGTATTCAACCTTCCCTAGTATTCTTGCTAAAGGATTATTACGCCAAACGTACTCAGGTCACCAGGTTTGGCGGCAAAAGCTCCTCAGCACTTACCACGACATCCGGTGTTCTTCGAGGAGCTATTTTGTTACCATTCTTGTTCTCTACTTACGTTAGCTCTATACCTGTCCCAGAAGAAACCATTCCGTTATAAGATGCAAAGGACATTATCTTCGGTGTAAATCATCAAACCGTGTCCTCCTCAGCCAAGCTGCAAAGTTGTTTAGACGAACTAGTGTAATATCAGACTCCCGCCGCTTGCCGCTGGAGCCCTCCAAGTGTAACGACATCCCTTTTTACTTCATACAGCAACTCGTTACCAGAAACTTGTCGCGGAATGTCCCAAACTTCAGAATGAAGGTGACAGTTTGAGCTTCTGTACGTCAGGGAAACATCTTGGAGTTACACTGAGCCATGATTTGTCCTGGTCACACCAGTTGAATCAAATATTCATCAAAGTCAGGCGACTTTCGTTTTACGTCGCTCGATTGCGATCGTGCTGCGTACCACACAATTTGCTTCTTATCCGGCGGGCCGAATTACTGTCAAGTGCGCACACTTATGACTTCCTTGTCATCGCCCGTTTCACGTAGGCCAAGCCAATGTGACTGCGTAGCATACCACAACAAACCTCAAGTCATGTCCTCATTGAGTGCGTGAACTCCGCCACTGGCTTGAGGTCGATTCGCGCGTCCATTCATGGCGCACTATGGTCAGAGGACGATGTTTACTGAGCCCCTAGCTGTATCATAGGCGTCGCAGGTAACCGATCGTCCCAATAGACTTCTGTGTAGGCCGTGCGCGCCGCACTCATTGACAAGTCAGTCCTACCGCTAGTTGGCTTGTCTGTCCTTCCATGAGCACAGTGGAATGTGTACTTGGCGTAAATGTCTCTAGCTAAATTACTGTCCGTAAGGACACACAAAGGTAAGTGCGTTCCTGTGCTCAAGTCCATGAAACACGCACACTCTTGGCATGGTTGGAAATCTTTCGCGTCCCATACATACGCTCATGGTGCTTCGCTACAAGGTGCTAGTCCGTAAAACGGCCTACCGCCCTCGGACACACTCAAACAGCAGCAGATTGTGTGGCATTAACTTTGCCTTGTTTCGACTGTGAGCCAGTACTGCGTTCGCAAACTTGGCATCAGTTCCGTACGCGCAGACTTTAACAGACATCAACACAAAATTTTCCATCGTAGAGTGGCAGCGGCAGGTTTGGTTCTCGTATCTGAAGGAAAATTGCGTGCGAAACTTCAGTCATTGGTTTCTACCTCGGGTGGCTTATTTTTCCCGTTGCAAATATAGGCATGCAAAAACGGGTCGCGACATTTGCACTCAACATGGCAGTTAAGAGTTGGTGAGGCTGCAGTGCTCTTTCACCAACTACTCAAATGTCGCGAACAGGACCACAGTGAAAATTTCTCTCACTCGAACCTATACTTTCCCAAAGGAGGAGGAATTCCATATTGACTCAAAACGGAATATCTGCGCGAAGCATTCTCAAATCGTTACGCATTTAGTCTCCATCATGTTCGGCTCTACCAGTGCACAACTATTCAGTGTC